ATACTGAGTTGTAGTTATATACTTCTACGCCTTACTTACTGAGTTGTAGTTATATACTTCTACGCCTTACTTACTGAGTTGTAGTTGTATACTTCTATGCCTTACATACTGAGTTGTAGTTGTATACTTCTACGCCTTACTTACTGAGTTGTAGTTATATACTTCTACGCCTTACTTACTGAGTTGTAGTTGTATACTTCTACGCCTTACGTACAGAGTTACAGTTATATCCTGTGCACCGTGTCACAGCATTGTGTGCATACCATGCATGGCACATTGGATGTAAGGTCGAGCTAACGAGAAACCATCTATACCTTTATACACACGCTACGGATTACCCTGTGTGGCATGTGCATATGTTCATCCATAAATCACACGAACGTACTGGCTTAGATCCATGCATGCACCACAGCATCGCACGCATCCACACGCACACAGCAGTCGAACAACATTGCGTGAGCACAAACTCACGGACAGTGCTACACACAACAACAACGGTACCCCAAGCCACATGCAACCGACCACATACCACATAGAAGTCGCTAAGATCATCCAGCACACGCAGCAACGCCGAGCAATGTGTGGGCCGGGCGGCATCGACATCCTCCTCAGGCTCGTCCACTCTACTTGCCGTACTGTCCGCTACACCCGCCTCAGCTTGGTTTTCCCATTCTTCGTTAGCCTTCTCCGCGTCGGCCTCGTTCTTTAGGGCGTCCTTGAGATCCAGCAGATCTCCGTTCATGTTGAGCAGCCGGAAATCCAGCTCAGTCATGCGACCGAACTCCTCGGAGCAGGCGCGGTTGTATCCATCTACCATACCATCAAGTTGGCTGTAGAAAAGGTGAACCTCGTGTCGTCAAATGGTGCTCAGGTTGTGATAATACAGGTTCGATATACTATACACACGCACGTATGTACACATAGTAAGGTAATCGTGCAAATATGCACACACTGAGTGCAACATAGGCACAGAGCGACATACCGGTAGATAGACCCCACGTGTCTCCAATAACTGTTGTGGTTGGCGCGTTCCTTGACCTCATTTCTCACCCACTGGTCATTCTTGTTCATGAACTTCACCAGGCGGTTGCTCGGAGGCTTGCCTTCAAACGTGTTGTTGTAGTAGTTCTTGAAGAAAACACCTACATAAGGTTAAATACGCAATTCTTAGCAGTGTGCCTACGTGGGAGTGCCAGCACTGATACATACACACTACTGTGAATATCCACCTCGAATCTATTGATTGTTATAGTCACATCAACTGACATAAGCATGGCACATAACTAACGTACGCGGAGCAGATTCGCCAAAAAAAGAGATCAAAGCAGCAACAAGTAGATGATAAGCGAAAATGTATAGATTGAATATCACATGATATATAAATTGAGATCTAGCAAACATACAGACAACTACACAAATATATATGATGTATTCATATATCCTAAAATATACAAAATACATACATATATTTATATATATATATAACTATATATACATATATGTGTGTGTGTGTGTGCGTGTGTGTGTGCGTGTGTGTGTGTGTAAGTGTGTGTATGTGTGTGTATGTGTGTGTCTTTGTACATATATATATATAAATATATAATTC